ATTGCCGAGTTCTCTGGTGTTGGGGCAATGAAACGACGACGTGAAACCGGTTCGCCACGGCTAGAATGTTGGTCCTTGTTGGTTTGAAAAGAGTTACTAGTACTAGTACGTCGAATATTGAGGAGAGCTACCGCCGTCAAGCCTTACGTGAGAATGGCTTGGATTGGTTGGCATGGACGCCTTGATAGAGCGGCGTACGTTTAGTGCGGTCCCCGGTAATAGACCAGTCCACCAGGATCGTCGCCGGCGTCCTTGGCCAATGCCACCATATCTGGCACCGGCAGGAGAGCCTTAGAGAAAGGAGGGGTTCGAGGGGCTTTAGATTATTGTTGGATAGGAGGCAAAGATAAGCGCGCAAAAAAGTGGTTCATGCATTTCGACACATTCTACAGTCACGAGCCATAACTTTCTGGTCGAGGGTGCTGGTGCCACAGCAGTGCAGTCAATTGCAAAAAGCGTACGATAAGCAGCGGGGTGCTTCGCCTCTTTGAGCTCGACGGCAAGGGGCTTGCCTATTTAAAGAATCGAATCCACCGCTCGCCGACGTTCGATCGCTCCTGGAAGCACGGGGGCTCATGACGAAGGAGCATCGGTTTTGTTACCTTGCGCAACGAAAATGGTTACTATGTACGCACCGCACGAGCTTTACCTCGAGGACGAATGCTCGATCTTGGTTGACGCACGCTTCCAGTGCGAGAATGCTGGCAAGCGTGGCGCAATCCAGTTGACAAGTCGGAAGGTTTACGAGTCCACAGCGCACTGATTTTTGCTAATGCTCGAACACGGCTCTAATCCACTGCTCTTCAATTGTTTTGCATGGTTATGTACACCTTCGCAGCTACTACTAGTACTCGTGAAATCTTAGTGAAGTTATGTAGTATATCAAGGGGTTGGTGCCGGTTGGTATGACAACAGTTTCGCCACCCCGGGCACAAGAAACTAGTACATAGCGACGTACCATGTACTAGTATTGAAATGCCCAACTCAAAGCTTTGTCGTCGACCATCATGGTCCACATCCATCAAGATTTGCAGGTTCTGTATAGTATTTGTTGAAGCTGGTCGTCGATTACAATCGACAATCCTGGGTGTACCGGAAATCCGCCTGCCTTCATCGCGTGCATTCAGCAATCATTTAAGGCTCGAAAAGCTGTGTAAACACCATGTAAACACTGTATAATTGAAAGCGAGTGCGCGCTAGCATGTCCAAGGACCAACAAGGGGCCATGTACTTTTTCCATATCAAAATGTCTCGCGACCAGGGCTACTGTACGCATACGCCAAGTTGTTGTCAACAAATCCGCGTCCAACGGCGACCACAGCTCGCGATGTGCCCACGCCTCTAGGCTACATGACCGACGCCACTTGCTTCACGATCGCGGAAATGCGCGCAAATGTCTATATTTTCGATCGCCCAAACGAAGACATCATGCCACTCGACTGTTTATACAGTAGGGAGCCAAGGGGGTCATTGTCGTCTAAATAGCCGTTTACGTTGCCACAATCAGCAAGTTTATCAATAATAGCTTTAATAATCGCGCATTCCGCGACCTACATGTTGCGAATCACAACATGTACCCGGCTCACCCCGAAGCAAGAGCAAGCGCGCAGCAACCATCCCTCTCCAAACCCAACAACCTTTTTGCCATTGACACCATTTTTCATCCGATTACATATGTATTATTACTTCGAACATCTGTCTACTTCCCGTTAAGGCGCTGGTCTCCGAACGTCCACTTCAACTTGAGTTGCCTCAAGACACAGTACGGATAAAACTTATCCGGTAGCCTCCGTAGTTGGCCCAAATTTGCCTGGTTTGCGAACGCACATTTGCGAGTCAACTCACTCGAGAACTGTGAATG